TGGTTTACTCTCATATTTTATCTGTTTCCCCTCTTATTGCTTCTTTCGTTATCCTCTGCTGGTTTTTAAAGGTGTCTCAATCCTCTGGCTTTCTACTAATCTTCACTACATTGTATGCTTTTACTTTTGCTTTTATGCTATCCATGACTTCCCTTGTCAGCCATGGTTGCCTTTAATATGTTTATTCTTCCTTGGGATGAATTTCTGCCAGGCCTCCCGAATTACTCCCAGAAACCGTTGACATTGCTGCCTTGGGGATAGCAAGAACTGCAGATGCTGGAGTCAGGGACAACACAATGTGGAGCTGGAAGAACACAGCAGGTCAGACAGCATCAGAGGAGCAGAGAAATTGATATTTCAGGTTGGGATCTTTCTTCAGAAAAGAAGGGTCCCAATCCGAAATATCAACTTTCCTGCTCCTCAGATGCTGCCTGACCTGCTGTGTTCCTCCAGCTCCACACGACATTGCTGCCTCCCTGTCTTCCATCTTTCCTGCTAGGCTTCCTTTCCAATCAACTCTGGTCAGCTCCTCCCTTACATCTTTGTAGTTACCTTTACTCACTGTAAGACCATAACATCTGATTACAGCTCCTCCCTCTCAAACTCAGGGTAAATTCTATCATATTATGATCACTGATCCCTAGGGGTTCCATCTCCTTAAGCTCCCTAATCAAGTCTACCTCATTACACATCACCAAAACCAGTATTTCCTGTTCCCTCGTGGGCCCTACCACTAGTTGCTTTAAAAAGCCGTCTTGTAGACATTCCTTAAATTCCTTTTCTTGGGATCCACTGCCAACCTAATTTTCCCAGTTCACTTGCATATTGAAGTCTCCCATGATTATTGTAATAGACGCTTTCTTACATGCCTTTTCTATTTCCCGATTTATTTATGCCTGTACATGACTCTCATCAGGGTCTTTTTTCCTTTCTGGCTCCTCAACTCTACCCACACAGATTCCAACTTTATATCACTTCTTGCTATCAATTTAATTTTATTTCTTATTAACAAGGCAACCATACCCCATTTAGCCATCTGTCCGCTCAATAGGACATGTATGACTTGGATTTTTTTTTCATTCATGAGATGAGATCATAACTGGGAAGACCAGCCTTTATTGCCCATCCCAAATTCCTTGGGGGCAGTTACAAGTCAACTACATTGTCTGGGGTCCATTCTAGGCCAGACCAGGCAGTTTCCTTTACTAAAGGACCTGAGTGAACCAGATAGGTTTTTCTAACAATTGACAATGGATTCATGGTCATCATTAGGATCTTAATTCAAGATTTTTAATGAATTCAAATTCCTCATCTGCCATAGTAGGAGAATAATACCTGGCTCTCTGGATTAAACAATCCAGTGATAATACTACTAAGCAAATGCCTTCCGTCCTCTAGATACTTACTTCCCAGCCTTGATCCCCTTGCAACTACCCAGTAATCTCAGGAATACCCACAACATCATACCTGTCAATGTCAATCTACCCTGTAAGCTTACTGACCTTGTTTTGTATACTGTGTGCATTCATGACTCTTTCCATACTGTCTGTCTGATTACTTATTTTGGAATCATTCATAATGTAGTGATTGGAATGAGGGCCAAGTGGAACATACTGATTGTGAGATCTTTGATTGGGGTTGGTAACCTGGGCCAATCGGGGAGCCCTGGTTACAGATGCAAACAAGAGATTCAGAGAGTCTCCTTATTCTAGGGACTGGCTTTGAGCTGGTTGGCCAGAGCCCATGTGCTGTACACATGTAAATAAAGGGTGACTTGGCAATGGGGTACTGGCCTCTGTGCAGTTATTTCACATAACTTCTGAGCTCTTCCCCACTTTTAACGTTTTCCATGCAACCGAACCCAACCCCACTATTTAGTTTAAATCCCCAAGTTGGTCATATGATTCATCAGGACTCTGGTCCCAGCATGATTCACTTGGAGCCCAATCCATTAGGACAGCTCCCCTCTTCCCCAGTACAGGTGCTAATGTTCCATGAATTCAAATCTGTTTCTCTCACACTAATCTTTGAGTTTTGCGTTTATCTCTTTCATCTTGGAGTAATCCACAGATTACTACCTATTCGATTCTGCTTTTTAATTTAGCCCCTAATTGCTCATATTCCCTCAGCAGAACTTCTTTACGTTTTCTACCTATATTTTTGATACATATGTGGACCATGACAACTGGATCTTCCCTTCCCACTCAAAGTTCCTCTACAGCTCAGGTAAGATATCCTGAATGCCATTGCTGGACAGGCAACACAACATTTGGGTCTCGCGATCCTGGCCACATGTCTATTTCCCCTCCTCTACTGTCCTCCATTACAATTACATTTCTCCTTTCTCACCCCTCTTGAATGGCTCCCTGTATCACTGTGATATGTCAGTTTGCTCATCCTTTCTACAGCTCCACTCTTGTCCACACAGGGAACAGGAATCTCAAACCTATTAGACAAGCTCAAGGGCTGAGTCACCTTTACCGTGACCTCCTGTATCCCTTGACCTGCCTCTCTGGTAGGCACGTCGTCCTGCCCCTGACCACTGATCAAATCCCAGATAGTTAATCTAAGGGGTGTGTCTGCCTCCTGAAACTGAGTATCCAGGTAACTCTCCTCCTCCCTGATGTGTAGCAGTGTTCAAAGCTCAGCCTACAGCTCATCAACTTTCAGCCAGAGTTCCTCAACCAATACTTGCGACAGATATGGTCACAATGAACCACAATGAGGTCCACCAGCTTTCATATCAAGCAGTTACAATACATCATCTGGCCTAGCATTAGTTTTAATTTAATTTTTAAATAATTTATACTGCTCTTTTAGTTTTTAGTCCGTACTTATTTCCCCTATTTACCTTCAATCTGAAAGTAACCTATAATAATGGTCAAATTAGTAGCTGTCATCAACCAATAAACTTACAGTTTGTCCACTCTTTTGTACTGGGCCCCTGATCCTGGGCTTCAACTTGTCCTGTTAAAAAGCCTTTCAAACTATGAGCCAAAACAAAAGCAAGCAAAAAGCAGCACTTCCCCTCTCCACCGAATTCCCCGAACTGTAGACAACAAGGTGCAGGGCTGGATGAACACAGCAGGCCAAGCAGCATCATAGGAGCAGAGAGGCTCCCAGAGAGGATAGAGCCCAAAGAGAGAGAAAGACAGTTAGACAGACAAAAGATTTGCTAACGATCAGGCTGGGAGGGTGAATAGTTGTTAATGGGGACTGTTAGCAACTCCTTTGTCTGTCTAACTGTCTTTCTCTCTCTTTGGGCTCTATCCTATCGTTTACTCCCTACCCCACCCACCTCCCTATTTTCTGCATATAATCTGATGTTTTCCCAGCCACCATCAGTTCTGAGGAAGGGTGACCGGACCTGAAACGTTAACTCTGTTTTCTCCTTCACAGATGCTGCCAGACCTGCTGAGCTTTTCCAGCAACTTTGTTTTTGTCCCCAAACTGTATGCTCATCTGGGCCATGTCTCACCCTAGACGTGATCTCTCTTTCCTGACTGTGCGAAGCTTACTGATCAGTTGTCTTTCTCTGGTTGCTTCCACTGCTTTATGTGTCCAGTAGTTGATTCCCTTGGAAAATGTCTGTGATTTATCAATTCACAAATTACAGCTCACTGCAATTCCTGCTGGAAAAGTAACTAGTTTTCTCCAGGTTTTATGCTGATTTTTTGACTGCAGAGAACAGGCATCTTCTGAGCTGGGAGAAGATCTGCACACTTTTTTTTTTCTCTCTCTCTCTTCATGTCGCTGTAACTTGGTTCCAAAAAGCTAATCACACAGTCATCAGCAACAAAAGGTCTCTGTCATTGATAACTGTTATTAGCCCACAGATTAATCAATTTCTTAGAATCATAGAATTTTAAAATTCAGAAGGAGGCCGTTCAATCGAGTCTGTTCCAGCTGCGGAAAGAGTTACCAGCTAGTTCATTCGCCAGCCCTACCTCCCTGGCCCTCTAAATTCATCACTTTAAAATATATATCCAGCTCTCTTTTGAAATAACCTATGCCTCTTACTGCCAACAAGAGTTCATCAGTACACTCCCTCAACTGTAGATCACAAGCAGTCTGAATTTCAGTTACTACTTGTTCAAAAAAGACACCATCCTAACATCCTTACACCTCCCATAAGGGGACATGATGACCTAGTGGTGTTATTGCTGAATTGTTAATCCAGAGACCCAGGTAGTGTTCTGGGGGACCCAGGTTTGAATCCCACAGTGGCAGATGGTGGAATTTGAATTCAATATAAATCTGAAATCAAGCATCTAATGATGACCATGAAGCTATCATTAATTGTCTGAAAAACCCATCTGGTTTACTAGTGCCCTTTGGGGAAAGGAAACTACAATTGTTACCTGCTCTGGCCTACATGTGACTACAGACCCACAGCAATGTGGTTGATTCTTAACTGCCTCTGGGCAGTTGGGATGGACAATAAATGTTGGCTTGGCCAGCAACATTCACAACCCGTGAATGAATAAAAAGAATTTCAGATTCCACAAATTATTATTCTGCTCTGAGGTTGTCCATGAGGAACATAGAAAAAGAGTTGGCCATTCAGCCCCTCAAGCCTGTTCTGTCATTTAATGAGAACATGAGCTTTTCTACAGTACTGATCCAATCCTTTATTATCAGCATAACTCCATCCCCTTTTCCTACCTGTCTGTCCTGCCTAGTCATTGAATAACCTTGGATATTCAGTTGCTGGTGCTGGTCATTATGCAGCTATGCTTTTGGAAAAATAATGAGATCATATCCAATTATCTTTATTTGTGCCTTTAGATCATCTACTTTATTGCAGATGCTGCATGCATTCAGATGGGGTGCTGATAACTTTGTCTCAAATCATGCTTGATGCTCATCCTTGTTTCTCCCATCTTCTAGTTCTTTTCTGCTTCCTGATACCAGTTTACTTCCTTCCAATTTGAGATACCCCTCAGGTTCCCAACCATTTCATAAGCTGTTTTAAACCCGCTCTAACAATTAAAACTCACCAGAAGTAGCAAATTCTCCTCCTCCATCAGCTGTCAAGCTATGTGTTGAAGTGATGAATCCTCCTGTTTTTATAAGACATATGGGATAAAAGACCAATTTTCAGGATAGCAATCTTTAACTAGTGATATTCTGGGGCTCAACTATCTATGAAATATATTAATGACTTGACTGATGAAAATGAATGTTTTGTAGCCAACTTTGTAGATGACACAGAAATAGATGAAAGGCAACTGAGGAGGTTGACACAAGTATTCTGCAGAGGGACATAGACCGATTAAGCGTGTGGGCAAAAAATTGGTAGATGAAATATACTGTGGGAAAATGTGAGGTTATGCACTTTGGCCAAAGAATAAAGCAAAAGTAAGCAGAAGTAGGTCATTCAGCTCTCTGCTCCACTGTGCAATGACATCATGGCTGATCAAATAACTCTCAAATTCACTTTCTTATTTTTTTGGTTTAACCCTTCATTCTCCTACTGATTAAAAATCTGTCTGTCTTGTCCTTAAATATATTTAACCATGTAGCTTCGACAGCTTTCTGTGGTAAAAGATTCCATAGATTCACAACCCTCTGAGAAAAGAAATTCATCATCATTCTTGTGTTAAATGTGTGACCCCTTATTCTGAGATTATGCCATCTGGTCCACATCTACCCTGTCAAATATCCTGAGTCTTTCATATTTCAATAAGTTTGCCTCTCATTCTTCTAATTTCCTCTGAGTACAGACCCAACCTACTCAACTTCTCCTCAAAAAACATTCCTCCGTGCCAGGCATCAGCCTAATCTTATCTACTTCGCCAACAATTTCAGAATATCCTTCTTTAGATAAGGTGTCCAAAACTGTTCAGCGTTCCAGCCATAGTTTGATGTATGCCTTGTATAGTTTTAACAAGACCTTGCTACTTTTATACTCTATTCTCTATGAAATAAAGATCAGTATTCAATTTGCCTCTCTATTACCTGCTGAACTTGGATTCTAGCTTTTTGTGATTTATGCATAAGAACTCCTGAATCCCTTTGTACTGTAGCTTTCCGCAGTCTTTCTTCATTTAAATAATGAAACCAAAGAACTGCGATGCTTGAAATCAGAAGCAAAAACAGAAATTGTTGGAAAAACTCAGCAGGTCTGGCAGCATCTGTAGAGAGGAAGCCGAGTTAGCATTTCAGGTCCAGTGACACTTCTTCAGAACAGTTCTTCAGAGCTGAGTTTTCCTAGCAATTTCTGTTTTTGTTTCATTTAAATAATATTCAGCTCCTTTATTATTCTGCCAAAAATGCATAACCTGACATTCTCCCACATTATCTTTCATCTGCCAAGTTTTTTGCCAAGTTTTACAATACATTTTACAATAAAAGTCATTAGTAAATATTTTAAATAGTTGGGCTCCAGAACTGATCCCTGTGGTACTCCACTAGTTAAAGACTTCTATCCGGAAAATGCTTCTCTTATCCCATCTTTCTCTCTTCTATTAGATAGTCGATCCACTATCCATGCTAATATAACAGCCCAACATCAGGGGCCCTTATCCTATTTAGTAGCCTTGTGTTTTTCTTCCTTTATTCATTCACAGGATGAGGGATTCATTGACCAGGCAGCATTTATTGCCCATTCCTAATTGCCCAGAGGTAAAGATCGCAGTTTCCTTCCCTGAAGGACATTAGTAAATCAGATGGGTTTTTCTGACAATCTGCGATGGATTCATGGTCATTATTAGATTCTTAATTCCAGATATTTTGTTGAATTCAAATTCCAAACTCTGCCATGGTGGGATCCAAACCTGGGTCCCCAGAATGTTACCTGGGTCCCTGGGTTAATAGTCCAGCGATAATACCACTAGGCCATTGCCTTCCCCTGTTATGTGTGGGACCTTATCAATCGCCTTCTGAAAATCCAATTATAATACATTCACTGCTTCCCCTTCATTTAACCTGCTTGTTACCACCTCGAGGAATTCTAGTATATTTGTCAGGCCTAATTTCCCTTTCATGAAGCCATGCTGACTCTGCTTGATCACCAATATGCATTTCTAAAAGCTCTGCTATTATATTCTTTATATCAGACTGTACATTTTCCCCAATAATAGGCATTGTTAACTGGTCTATAGTTATCTGTTTTACTGTCTGCTTCCCTTTTTAAATAAAGATGTTATATTGGCAGTTCTCTAATCGCCTGGGACTTTTCCAGAACCTATGGATTCTTGGAAGATTACTACAAGTGCATCCCCTTTCTCGATACCTACTTCCTTTAAAATCCTAGGAGGCATCTCAAAAGGTTTTTTTTCACCCTTTATTCATTCACAGGATGAGGCATCACTAGGCTGGCAGCATTCATTGCCCAGTTTCCTAGTTGTCATTCCCTAGTTGCCCAGTGGGCAGCTATGAGTCAACCACATCACCGTGGGTCTGGAGTCACATGTAGGCCAGACTGGGTATGGATAGCTGTTTACTTCCCCAAAGAATATCAGTGAACTAGAAGGGCTTTTCCAACAACGGATTCACAGTCATCATTAGACTCTTTAATTCCAGATATTTATTGATTCAAATCCCACCATCAGCCATGGCAGGATTCAAACCCAGGTCTCCAGAATACTACCAAGGTCTCTGGATTAACAGTCCAGCAATAATACCACTAAGCCATCGCCTCCCACTTTCAGGGGACTTGTCAGTCTTTGGCTCATTAGTTTCATTAGTTTCCTGAGCACTTCTTTCTCTCATAATAGTTATTCTATTTATTTCCTGTCCTCCTTTTGTCCCCTGAATATTTGCCAATTTTGGAATGTGATTAGTGTCTTTTACTGTGAAAACTAATGTAAAGTATTTATTCAACTCCTACGCTATTTCATGGATCCCCATTATTATTTCCCCACCTTGATAGGTATAGGACAGATGTCAGAGGTAGGTTCTTTACTCAGAGAGTAAGTAGTAAGGGCGTGGAATGCCCTGCCTGCAAAAATAGTAGACTCGCCAACTTTAAGGGCATTTAAATGGTCATTGGATAAACATATGGATGATAATGGAATAGTTTAGGTTAGATGGGCTTCAGATTGGTTTCACAGGTCGGTGCAACATCGAGGGCCGAAGGGCCTGTACTGCGCTGTAATGTTCTATGCTCTATGTTCTCAACTAGGCCTCTGTTAAGGTTAGGGTTTGACCTCTCTCTTCCTTTTTATATATTTTGATCTTGTTGTCTGTCTTACCTTTAAAGTTTAACTTCTCCCTTTTATTTTTAGTTGTCTGTTGTTTGTTTTTAAAACATTCCCAAACCTCTGGCTTACCATTAACCTTTGCCACATTATATGTATTTTCTTTCAATTTGATGCTATCCTTAACTTCTGGGGAGGTGTCAGATGACTGGAGAACAGCTAATGTGATTCCACTATACAAGACAAGTGATACAAGACAGGGAATGACAGCCCAGTGAGTCCAACATCAATGGTAGGGTTACTATTACATCCCCACCTCAATAATGGTAAAGCCCAATATATTAGTGCAAAAGATAAGACTGAAGTATTTGCAGCAACCTTCAGCCAGAAGTGTCGAGTAGATGATCCTTCTCAGCCTCCTCCAGTGGACCCAACATCACCGATAACAGTGTTCAGCCAATTCGATTCACTGCACATGATGTCAAGAAATGCTTGGAGGCACTGGATACTACAAAGGCTATGGTCCCTGACAAAACATTCTGGCAACAGTACTGAAGACTTGTGCTCCAGAAATCTCTGCTCCCCTAGCCAACGTGGCATCTACCCAACGATGTGGAAAATTGTCCAGGTACACAAAAGGCAGGACAAATCTAACCCAGCCAATTACACCCTGTCAGTCTGCTCTTGATCATCAGTAAACATAGAACATAGAACAGTACAGCACAGTACAGGCCCTTCGGCCCATGATGTTGTGCCAAACTTTTACCCTATTCCTAAGGTCTATCTAACCTCCAATCCTACCTTATACTATCATCCATATGCCCATAATGAGGCCGATTCCACTACCCTCTCCGGCAATTCCACACCCCTAACACTCTGGGTAAAAAACCTACCTTTGACATCTCCCCTATATCTACCTCCACTCACTTTAAAACTATGGCCCCTCGTAATAGCTATCTCCACCTGAGGAAAAAGTCTCTGGCTGTCTACTCTATCTATACCTCTGATCATTTTGTACACTTCTATCAAGTCACCTCTCATCTTTTGTCGTTCTAAAGAGAAAAGCCCTAGCTCTCTCACCTTTCCTCGTAAGACCTTCCCTCCATTTCAGGTAACATCCTGGTAAATCTCCTCTGCACCTTTTCCAACGCCTCCACATCTTTCCTGTAATGAGGTGACCAGAACTAGACACAATACTCCAGATGTGGCCGAACCAGGCTTTTGTATAGCTGGAGCATAACTTCACGGCTCTTGAACTCAGTCCCTCTATTAATGAAAGCTAACACACCATACGTCTTCTTAACAACTCTATCCACCTGGGTGACAGCTTTCAGGGAACTGTGAACATGAACCCCAAGATCCCTCTGCTCCTCCACACTGCCAAGAATCTTTCCGTTAACCCTGTATTCTGCTTTCAAGTTTGTCCTTCCAAAATGTTGGATGAAAGAATTCTCATACACTTCTTAGTTTGAGAGGAAGAAGCTTGAATCAATTTAACCATAACATACTATAAGAGCAGAATTAAGCCCATTGATTCTGCTCTGTAAATGGATCAGGGCTGATATATTTCTCAACCCCATTGTCCTGCCTTCTCTCTGTAACCCTTGATTCCCTTACTAATCAAGGACCTATCTATTGTTGTCTTAAATACATTTAATGACTTGGTTTCCACACCTTTCTGCGGTAATGGCTTCCACAGATTAACCACCCTCTGGCTGAAGAAATTCTTCCTTATCTCACTTCTAAAGGGTCGTCTATTCACTCTAGAGCTGTGCTCTCGGGTCCTAGTCTCTCCTTTTTGTGGAAATATCTGCTCCATGTCCACTCTATCCAGACCTCTTGGTATTGTGTAAGTTTCAATGGGATGCCCCTCCTCATTCCAAACTCCATCTAGTGCAGACGTAGAGTCCACAACAGTTCCTCATATGAGGAGCCTATCTTCCCGGGGATCATTCTTGTAAACTTCTTCTGGACCCTCCTACCTGCCCAGAATTATTCTTGTAAACATCCTCTGGACCCCCTCCAAGGTTCACAAATCTTTCCTTAGATACAGGGCCCAAAATTGCTCAATATTCCAGATATGACCTAACCAGAACCTTATACAGCCTCAGCAATACATTTCTGCTCTTGTATTCTAGCCCTCTTAAAAGGATTATTAACATTGCATTTGCCTTCCTAACTGCCAAGTTTTTTAAAAATTCATTCATGGGATGTGGGTATCACTGGCTAGGCCATCATTTAGTGCCCATCCAAGTCAAGAGTCAACCACTTTGCTGTGAGTCTGGAGTCACATGTAGGCCAGACCAGGATGATGGTTTCCTTCCCTAAAGGACATTTGTGAACTAAATGGTCTTAATTCCAAATTTCTATTGAATTCAAATTCCGCCATCTGCCTTGGCAGGATTTGAACCCAGGTCTTGAGACCATTACCTAGGTGTGATTAACAGTCTAGCAATAACAGCACGAGGCCATCGCCTCCCCTATATCTGAACCTACATGTTAACCTTAAGAGAATCCTGAACTAGGATTCTCCAGTCTCTTTTTGCTGCAGATTTCAGATACAGGATTCAGAATTGCTCACATTTTTGTAAAGGCAGTCTGACCAGAGCCTTATATAGCCTCAGCAGTACATCTCTATTCTTGTTTTCTAGCCCTCTTGAAATGAATGCTAACATTACATTTGCTTTCTTAACTGCTAATTGAACCGGCATGTAAACCTTAAGAGAATTCTGAATAAGGACTCCCAAGTCCCTTTCTACTTCTGATTTCTGAAACCCTTTCTCATTTAGAAATAGTCTATGCCTTTATTCTTTCTACCCAAGTGCACAACTTCATAATTTCCCACGTTGTATTCCATCTGCCACTTCTTTGCCCATTTGCCTAGCCTGTCCAAGTTCTTCTATAGCCTCCTGCCTCCTCAACACTACCTGTCCCTCCACCTGTTTTTGTATCATCTGGAAACTTAGCAACAATGCTCTCAGTTCCTTTGTCCAGATCGTGAATGCATAATGTGAACAGTTGTGGTTCTTTACACTGACCCCCATGGATCTCTACTAGTCACCGGCTGCCACCCTGGAAGACTTCTTTATCCCTACTCTCAGCTTTCTGCCAGTCAGCCAATCCACCATCAATGCCTGTATTTTGCCCCTCACACCATGAGCTCCTATGTAGCCTCCGGTGTGTCACCTTGTTAAAGGCCTCCTGGAAATCCAAACAGATCATGTCCACAAGTTCACCTTTGTCTAACTTGCTTGTTTCCTCCTCAAAGAATTCTAACCGATTTGTCGGGCATGAGATTCCCTTGAAAAAGCCATGCTGACAATGCACTATTTTCCCACGCGCGTCCAAGTACTCCATAATCTCATCTGTAATAGTGGACTCTAAAATCTTATCAACAATCATGGTCAGGCCTCTCGATTCATGCCTTCTCCCTCCCTCCCTCCCTTCTGAAACAAGGGTCCTGGGACAGGCCAAGCAGAGACAAGCATGGGAATTCCTAGAGGCCTGGTTCTCCACTAAGAAGGCCATCAACAAACACATAGAACTAGACCCTATGTATACTCCACTGCGAAGGAAAACCGGAAGTGAGGTAACCCAGCTCAACGGACACCAGAGTTTAAATAACAGGCGGGAAAATACAACAGCACTTCATCGGAGGCTGTACTGATGATGTTACCCAGCAGGGTAATGAAATGTCTGCAGAACAACGAGCCAGCTTGGCAAGCCAACCAACCACAACGAGGGTGGTATATTAGACATTTTCCAGTCCTCTGGGGCCCTCCCTGACTCCCTAGATTCCTGAGAGATCACCAAGGCCTCTGCAATCTCCTCAACTATCTCCTTCAGAACGCTGTGGCGTAGCCCATCTGATCTGGGTGATTTGTCTGCCTTCAGTCTTCAGTTTCCCCAGCACCTTCTCTTTAGTGGAGTCACTACACTCATCACTTCCCCCTGACTCTCCTGAAGTTCTGGTATGCTGCTGGTGTCTTTCACTGTGAAAACTGATGAAAAGTACCTACTCAGTTCCTCCACCATTTCTTTGTTCCCTATTATTATTTCTCCAACCACATTTTGCAACATCCAATGTCCATTTCTGCCTCGCTCTCTTACATTTTAGCTATCTCAAAAAACTTCTTGCAATCTTCTTTGCAAACTGACACCTGAAGAAGGAGTAAGACTCCAAAAGCTTGCGTTTTCAAATAAAACTGTTGGACTATAACCTGATGTCATGTGATTTCTGACCTTGTCCGCACCATTCCAACACTGGCACCTCCACATCAAATCTTCCTTTATATTACTAACTAGCTTACCCTCATATTTCATCTTCTACCTGCCTCAATGCCTTTTTAGTTATTCTCTTCTGGTTTTTAAAGGCTTCCCAATCCTCTGGCTTCCAACTAATCTTCACCACATTAGATGCTTTTCTTTTGCTTTTGTCCTGTCCCAGGCTTCCCTGATCAGCTATTAATAATCACATTAATGATTTGGATGAGGGAACTAAATGTAACATCTTGAAGTTTGCAGATGATACCAAGTTGGGTGGGAGGGTGAAGTGTGACGAGGATGCAGAGATCCTTCGGCATGATCTAGCGCCAGGCCGGAGAGGCCACTACGTGAGGCTGTTGTGTCAGACTGGGAGCTGTCGGCGGAGGTCGAGAATCGCTGCTCACTCGAGTCTGGGAATCGTCATCGGAGGCTGGGAGTAGTTGCCAGAGGTTGGGAATCATTGCTGGAGGCAGGGAGTCAAAGGGGGAGAAAGGAAGGAGAAAGAGGGGTAGAAACAAAACAGCACTAGGAGAAAGAAGAAGAAAAGAAAAACAAAAAAGAAGAGTGGGCAGAGCAGACAAGCTCCAGCTGGAGCATCCTACTCTGTCACCATGTTGTAGTGAGTTGAGTTTCTGGCCAATGGTAACCCCCAGGATGTTGATAGTGGGGGATTCAGTGATAGTAACACCATTGAATGTCAAGGGGCGGTGGTTAAATTGTCTCTTATTGGTGATGGTCATTGCCTGGCATTTGTGTGGTGTGAATGTCACATGTCACTTGTCAGCCCAAGTCTGGATATAGTCCGGATGTTGATGTATTTAAACATTAAATGATGTGGTGTGTAATAATTATAATGTATAATTGTATATTATAGACTAGTACATACAGACCGCGGTGACAGTTGAAATTTCCGATTTAAATCGCCGCTTCGCGCCTTGTCACGTGTCTATTGTCCGGTTGGTGATTGGTCGATGTTGTCCCAATCAGAGCCTTGGCTCCTGAGGCCTATCGGGTTCTGAATCCTCGGCCTCGATTTTCGGGAATCGGAGGGGGAGTGATTTTGGGGTATGGAGGTGGTGTTGATGGAGATGTGAATGGACAGGGAGACTCCCTGTGTCTTCTGTTGCACGTTCCAATGTCTGTCTGCTCGCGTTAGATTAGAGTTTGCGCTAGCCCCTCGGGTTTGCAGGCAGCACTGCCCTTTATGGTTTGTAGTGACGAATACTAGTCTCTGTTTCCGAGTTTTAGATGTTGTTCTTCAAGCGGAGGTTCAACATAACAACCCGGAATGCGTTGAGACTGTGGCGTGTTTTTCAGTTTCCACGTTTCCAGACTCTTTGCATTTTAAAAAAATAATTATTGATTAGATTCTTTTGTTGATTATAGTTTGATGTTTCGACTGCGTGTTGCTGACACTGGCACCGTTTCAAGCAATAAAGGAGAATGTCAGTGGTTTTGACTGAAGATCAGAAACGACAGATTGAAACAAATCGGTTGAAGGCACTGGCCAGGCGAGCAGAGAGGTTAGCGTTACAGCAGCAAACACTATCTCAACAGAACTCTGCATTTCCATCCACCCACCAGAATGGACTGCAGTACACCCCAACTCACCGTCACCTTGGACTGGTACAACAGAGTGATTCTGCAGCAGAGGTGGCATCACCTCTATGCACTGGACAACAAAAGGCTGCTGTTATCGATGCTGCGCCTCAAGCTTACCTCAAGATGGAGAATGGGGACGCCAAGTTCACTCCTTTTGTAACACAACCTGACTCCATGACCAAAGGCGTTCCACCCTGTACCACTAAGGAAAGGAATATGCTGGCATCTAATAGTTCGGAGCAGGAGACTTGGGCTGGGGCAAACCTGGGGCATTCCGTTTCTGGTAATGCCGACTTACTATCAGGGAAAAGCCATTCCAGTTCAGCTGGAATCTCATTGGGAAACTGGAGCAATAATTACAGGGGCAGCTGTGTGAAGCACTCTAAGGATCGATTTCGTGTGGAAATTGGATACAATGCAGAGCTAGTTTCAATCTTCGAAACAATCCCAAGTAGGAATTTTGGTAAGATTTCAGTCCTATGTTGTATATCACAAAGAGAAAAGGAGGTCAGTTAGAAGGTATTTTAGAGGGAAGGTGGGCTAGACATACAAGAAGTTGCACAAGATCCATCCTGGGGAGGGGACGGGGAGAGAGAGGAATCTGTGGCTGGAGAGGGGGTGGCCGGAGAGATGAGAGGGAGAGTGTCCTGCAATATTTGATCAATGGAATGAAGTTAAATGAAAACCTCTCGAACTTCCATCAAATAACTTATGATATGTGATCAGTTTGCAGTTAACCTATTCTGCCTAGTCTTCAATTTGCGCTGCTGGCGCCTCACACACTCCCATAGTCTAACGTCTTGCCAATTCTTTTCTTTTCACCTTATTTCCAAAATAACAATTTGATATTGCAAAAAGCAATGAGACATTATGCAGTCTCAAACTAGTCCCACTTCCCCCTTCCCACAGCAATGTATTAATCCCAAACTAATCCTGCTTCCCCATACCACGTATCAATCACAAAACTAATCCCATCACCCCACTGTATACCTATAGTTCAATACCAATTCTCAAACCATCCCCATTGTCCCATTAAAAACAGAAAGAATTGTGGATACTGTAAATCAGAAACAAAAACAGAAATTGCTGGAAAAGCTCAGCAGGTCTGGCAGCATCTGTG